GTGAACTGGGTTTGTAGTTTTCCAAATTGGAAAACAGGGACTCGCTGAATGGGGAGGGGAGATAAAGGGATCCCAAAGCGCATGCAAATAAGAACTTCAGAGGCTGCTGCCCCTTGTTTTTACAAATGACCGATGACGGGGATTAAACTTTCTTAAAACATGGAAAACTCATTTGGTAGTACAATGTCATAACCTGAGTTTTCATTTTATTAGTAATGCCCTGTCAGGGGAGCTCTGTGTCCCGTAAATCAATCCTGGGGAGAAATGTCGCAATTTGTTAATGAAAATACAAGCAGAATTAGTTTGGCAGCTGCCATCGATGTCAGTCGTGGATATTGTGTAACTGGGCCGGTAGCATGGTATTTGGTGTTAGTGGGGTGTCACTCAGTGTCACTTGCACTTGTTAGGGGAATCCAAGCATTTGCTGACAATTAAACTTGCCAGTTTTGACTTCCACTTTGCAAAGTCTTTGTCAAGGTGGAAAATGCCTAGAATAGTGGGCTTTGATTGCCAGGTATTGTGGGACAACCTCAGGATGATTTTAGGAAAAAAATGACCTCTCTTCCCTTGCAATCCCTTAATAATAATATACTCAGAGGCATGTATTGAGCTCCCCTGGGTTAACCATGTGATGATCATTATTCTTTTAATGTTTTACATTAATCTCTGTGTTTTCTATTAGTACTAGCTGCTGCTTATGTCTCTCAATGCCACAATCAGGGTATTTTTGATATCTTGTATTACCCTAATCGCCAAGAAGTATGCTCCAAACTGATTAATTCCAGAATGATTAAAACATCCTATGCAATTCATTTATTGTTGCTGCAGTTAATTGAATATTTGATGATTTAAAGGTACCCTGATTATCTCCTAAGATATGTATTTATCACCAGGCAGATGATTTGTGCGTGGTCTCTCTGTGGCTACATGGGGTGGCAGCCTGCATTGTCACAGGCAGAGAGGGTAGGCACTTGTGAGGACTCTCAGTCAACTCACCACCTGCCCGACGTGCGCCTGCCTTCCCTGCCCCTCAGAGGACCACATCCGTGCCCAGCACAAGAGGGTCGTCTGAGGCCAGGAGTGAGAGCACAGCTTCCCTGTGCAGCTTGCGGCTTGCTTTCTGCTCCAGGAGGAGGGGGCGGAGAGGGGGAATGCAAAAGGACGCTGCAGCTCTGAGTGGCTAACTTGCGCTTTGTGGACTATCTGAATACTCAAGAGTGGCTTGAAAGAGAAGAGAAGGTGGGTCCGGAATTCAGCAGCAGCTTGGCAACTCATCGGGCAGCAGTTCTAATCCCAGTGTCACCACTAGTTCTCTTCCTCAGTCTCCTTTCACACCTGTCCGACTCCTCCAGAACTACTGCAAGACGGGTGTGTGTGAAACAGAGAGAGCAACTGGGAAAAATTCGGGGCCAAGGCTCAGCCTTAGTTCAGCTTTCTTCCAGTGTGCAGAGTGACCCCGGCGCGGCTCTGCAGGGGGCGCAGAGACTGAAGTGGCCTCAGGTGGCCCCACCACTTCTCGGCCATGTCAGATCCTTGGCCTCTCACTCCCATATGGAGTGAGGACTACAGTGGGGACCTTGGCAGCTGGGAGTTTTTGTCGGACATGGCTCTGTCTGTGAACCCGGTAGGTACCCTCTCCCGGACACCTAAATCAGACCTCCTGTTCAGTATTGTCTGTTTCCCGTGTAAATGTTTGTCTCCCCAATTTACGTGGAGTCTTGAAGGTGGAAATTATGTTGTCTTCAGTGTTTTTAAATCCTCCCCTTTGGCACCATCCTGAGCACAGTGTGAGCTCAATCAGGATTTGTTGTCTAAAGAAATAAATGGGAGAACTGATGAATAGGCAACGGGTGAATGAATACGATCCTATTACCCTTGTCACGACTACCTTACTTCTGTCTGTCCCAGTGGGTCTCTAATTGTTTGTTTTCCTGTCCCATCTAGACATTTAACTCAGAGAGAAAGAGGCCAAGTCTCCTCGTAGTTATTTGTATCACCAACTCCCCACGCCTAGCACTGTTCTAGGCGCAGAGGAAATGCTTGCTGGTTAATTCAAAAGCACTTGCGGCACAAATGTAGTGGTCTTGTGGTGAAAACAGCTGTGGGGCAGGGATAGATGAGTTTACAAGACTAGTGACTCCATGTGAATGCTGGATTCCAGTATTTTTTTAAAAAGAAAAAAAATCTGAACACTCAGTGTGGATGCATATTTATTTGACTGCTCTTGTCTATAGAGTTTTTCCCAATCCTGAATGCTTCTGACCCCACTAAGTCATTATTAGATTTGCTGCAAAGCCCCGGAGTCCACAACTCTTTCTATTTTGATAGCATTTCCCCCATAAGGAAATGGATATTTATAATACCAGGTGTAGAGATGATATTTGCAGTTGGCAAGAGTGAGTCAGATCTTACCTTGAAAAGACTGGAAGCCTGGACTTAATAATAAAGCAACAACAGGACAAGGGGTAATAACCTGACTCATTGTGTGGGGCTTTGTGGGTTACAAAGCACATTCACATTACTTGTTTCATTTGCTGCTCACAGAAACCCTGTGAGATTTGAAAGGAGCAAGTATTATTATTGTTGTTATTTTATTTTATTCTATTTTATTTTACAGTTGGGAAAACTGGAACTCAGAGGGGTAAAGTTACTAAGTCCTGTTCCCAAGTGGTAGGGCCAGGACTCCCACCCAACTCTTTAGACTCATAGGCAAGTGTTCTTGCTGTGTCTGCATATTGCTAATATTTTTTTCCTCTTTAATTTAAAAATTAACATTTATGTGTTTGTGCGGAAAAAGGACAACAAAGACCTTTTCACGAGAGTGGGCTATATATTTTTAGCCCAGGCAGCCCACACCGATACAGTGCAATAATGATATTGAAGATTTAAGTCTTTGCTCTAATCATTTTGATCTTTGTGTTTGGGGAAGGTATTTATTAGAATTCAAGAGTTGTCTTGCAAAATATACTTGCTGGAGCATTGGGCAATGGAATGAGATTTTATTTGCTTTTAAGAATAATGAGTTCAGTTTTGTAATCCTGTGATATGTTAGACCAGCATCTCCCAGTGTATGTTCTGCAAACACTCATTCTATGGAATGGCGATAATTGTTAATTGGGAAGAAAAAAACACGAAAACTAAAAACTCAAGAATTCAATGGTCCAGAAAGTTGGGAACGTGCTGCATTAAACCAATTAGAAGGTGTCTCCGAGTCTTTAATTGGCATTATGGAACTCCAAGAGGGGGACAGATTGCAGAATTTCCCACACTTACTTGGACATGGGACCTTTCATTTTGCAGAACTAGTGTCTATGGGATGGTCTCCTTTGAGGCACTTATCACGGTTACTGCCATACATTAACTATGTGATTCTTAATATCCGCCTTCTTCTTGAGTCTGCAAACTCCATGAGGGAGGAATCTGTGTCTCCTTTTGCTTCCCGTTGTATCTGTACCTAGCACAATCCTGGTGGCACAGTCCCTGGTCCTCCAAAAATATTTGTTGAATGAATGAATGAATGAACAAACTGTGCTGGGCCAAACCACCTATGGTTCCCTATCAGAAACCTATATTTAAGGTTCTTTACAATGTATGCCCAGCCAACTTTTTCAGCCTTTCCTTCTACTGTTCTTTCTACCATTATTAGAATATTATTGTTTTTGGAAAGGTGACGACATAATTTAACATCCAAACTGGGACATTTTTGAGGGTGAAAGGGGGCACTGTCAATAATTACACCAGGATGACAGGTGTAAACTGGAACTGTATCAGATAACCCAGGATGGATGGCCCCCTCATTATTTAGTGACTCGTTCTCAGACTGCCTCCCCTGCTAGGAATTTTATGCTCCTTGGAGCAGGGACCCTTACATGAAGAAGGTATTCAATAAATATTGCTTGAACTTAATGTATATACAGTAACGACTTGAATGCTAATTTAAGATTTGCTGATGATTCTAGCACGTTTTTCTAAGGTTGAAAGAAACTGATGCCATGTTCTATTTCCCATTTTCCCAAGTATAGTTATGCTCACACTCCAATCTATCAGAGTAATAGTGGGCTACGACCTAATTGCCCTTGTAAGAGACCTGGAACATACAGCCAGAATTGGAGGGAAGTGGAAGTGATCAATTTGCAATCTCGAGAGGGTGAAGGTATGAAGGAGAGAGTTAGGAATGTTTGGGAGATGTGCATAACCTGCATAGGTGACATCATGCCCGGGAGACCTTTCCCCAGGTGGTTGTACCACTCCCAAGTCCCTAGTCATGCACTGCTTCATAGCTGGTGTCTCACTTTGGTGTTTGGCTTCTTGCTTTCACTCATTAGGGAGCCCTGGAGGAAAGGGTCATGTGCCAGACATGGAGTAAGTCCTCAGTACATTTCTGTTAGTTGCTTGAATTTTGATTGATTGGGAAGGTGTCACACTCATGGGAAAGATGGCTCATGGGATTCCCTTTGTATATTTGTGATATTTTTTCTAAGTGCCAAAGCAAGAATGCAATTTACACAGGAGTTTTAGCGTTAGTGTTTTGGATAAGAATTGTAGGCATCTGGTTGGACTCCTAAGTTAAAAGAGAACTTAATCATAGAAGTGTTTCATATAGGCTGCATCTTTTAAAAATCTGTGATTATGAATAATACACTAAATTATGTCAGAGGGTTGAGGAGACCTTAAAGATCAGGAAGTCAAGCTCCTTCTTTGGACACATGAGCAAAGTGAAGCCCAGGTGAAGGGGGAGGATAGCTCAGCATCGCCCAGCAAATCAGTGATAAAACAAGTCACTCTCTTTCTGCACCTTGCACTGTGGTCTTACTACTTCATTAAAGTAAAACAAAATTGCCATTTTTAGATACTTACTGCTTTGTATTTAATAGGGAAAAAACACACTGATAGCTATGTTTATTTCTTTACAATTTTTCCTACAGAGTAAAATATTATACAATAAAATTCTCTGAGAATAACTAGATTGTGCTTAAATTTTTTTGTTTATTTTATTGTAGGTAAGCCTTCCCACTGATCCAAGCTGTGTTGAAGAAATCTTGCGGGTGAGTTTAAACCTTTATTTCTGTGCCTTTTAATAATGAAGCAATCTGTCTGCTTAAGCTGTTTAAAGTAATTACTGTTCTGTTTCCGGGAGTATCATGATGGGCAATCCTCACATTTCACTTCAAAACCCTTCTGCTTATACTTCTTGTCTTATTTCTTACCTGTCACCTCCCCATTCTCATATCATGTCATGGGGGCCAATTTGCTATCTCCTCAGTGGTCCCAAGGCTCAGGGTGCTGATGCCTTTCCTAGGGCCTTAGAGGGAACTTAAAATAGAAGGTGCTGGTGGAGACTTAAGATGCATTCACTACCAGGCTAAGGTGCTTTTATATACCTCTCTTCATCTCAACTTCACAACAATCCTAGACGTGGATTTTTTTCTTCCCCTTAATATACACAGAGAATCAGAGGCTCAGAGAAGTTCAAGTGGCTTGCCGAAGTTCACAAAGCCAGTTAGGTATCAGTGCTGGGATTTAAATCCACGCCCGTCCAGCTTCAAAGGCCATGCTCTTTCCACTACCCCTTGATGCCCCCAGAAAATATAGTAAATTATCTCATTTATTTGCTCAAATAAATAAAATGTGATATCTGTTTCTTCCTTTTTAGTTTTAGTTTTATGTAAGATGCTAGACAAAGGGTCATTTTCCACATTTGGCTTAAAATGGCAAGTGTTAAATTCCTTTGATCTCCTAACCTCACCAAGCTTCAATCCCATTCTCATATCCTTCTGAGTCTTTCTTTTGAGGTCTGGACAGAGACTCACCAACCTTCCTTAGGAAACTTTCCCTGTTCAGGCATCCTACCCTAAATCCTTGCCTTTCTGCTCTCGGTAATCTCAAGTCAACTTCACTGCTGCTTCTAGCTGCATTGTTGATAGCACATGGTTATGGAGATTGTGGCCTATAATGGGGGGGAAGGGGGGATGTGGGAGGATGGATGGGAGGAGGGGAGGAGAGACTTGAGAATGATTGTAAGTTGGGGGGAAATGTTACTAATGGGAGTGAATTTGTGCATGAGAATGGCACAGAGGCAGCAGAAAGCTGTAAAAGGTGGCAATAACCTCTCCCAAAGTAAACAATGAAAGCGAAAGGAAAAGCCAAAGCCCAGCCAGAAAAATGTATTTCCTTTATCTGGCTGTTGGCATCATAAGGAAATATGGTACAGTCATATGTTGCTTAACGACGGGGACACATTCTGAGAAATGCGTTGTTAGGTGATTTTGTCATGTGAACATCATAGAGTGTGCTTACACAAGCCTAGATGGTACAGCCTACTACACACCTAGGCTATATGGCACTAATCTTGTGGGACCACCATCATATATGCAACCTGGTCATTTACTGAAACATCGTTATGCGGTGCGTGACTGTATATGAAGAATAGGAGTAATGGGAGTGAGTTCTAGTCCCAGCTCTACCATTTGTCACTTCTGTGGTTTGGACAGATGAATTCATATTTCTGAATCTCCCTTCCTTGTCTGTAAAAGAGGACAACAATACCTGTCCTAATTCTCTTATAAGCTGCCAAGTGGTATATAAATGCTCATTATTATGATAAATGATGATCAGTGTGGCCATGAGAAAACCATGCAGGCTTTCCATTGGGGAAAGAAAACAACCTGTGTGCCAGTGAAAATTCTGCACCCCCTTTCCTCACTTGGCAAAGTTACCCCGACTCCCCTTGAGACTACCCTAGTAAGTGCCTTCTTAGCAGCCCAGTGTTCGAAGCAAACCCTGTGAAAATGCAGCTAAAGGAATAATAAAGAGCAGAAAGCTGTTTACCACTGAGTTGACTGGCCACCTGATTTCACCTGTTGTGGATATTTGTGCACCTTTTTCAGCCCAAGAACATTGTTATTGAGTATTAAGAGGTGAGACTCTGAATTAGGGATATACTGGCTACTTTTGTAAGACAAGAGCCCAGGAACCCCTCAGTCATCTCTCCCCGGAATCCAAGGGTTGGGGTGGAGGGTGGGCGACTGTTGTGAAATTCACAAGTGTGATGACCCTGGAAACCCAGCTGCTTGCTCTTTCCATTGGGTGGAGATAGGTCAGATACACCAAATACACCAAATCTTTGCTAGCGTGTTGGCTGCCTTCCTTACGGAAAGGTAACACTGACAGAAACTTATTACTCTAGTCTCCACAGTAGTCTTGCTTTTCCAAATGAAGTCACTGGTCCTTTCTTAACTCCCAAAGGAATGCCAGACCCATTTCAAAATCACTCCCTAATTTGTCAAAATTGGAATTCTCTACTTAGCAGCAGCCTGGCCCTCGTGCCTAGGTGGTTCACATGGTGACTAATGAGGGGCGCGGGGTGAACACCTGTTAGATGCTGGGTACTCCAGTCTGCTGGAGGAGCCACTTAGAAAAACAACAGAATGTCACTTAAACATGGAAAGAAAAGAAGCAGGTTGCCTTAATAAGCTCATAAAAGATAGCACCCTTTGAGAAAATAACAAAAGTCCTTCCGTTGTTCTTGAAAGAGAATCTGGGGAAACGTTTTTTTTTTTTTTTGAAGGGCTATAGATTGTATAGAATTCTGTTTTTTTTTTCAACAGCACAATTAATGAGTGGGCTTTCCTTTATTGAGGAGTGACATGTTTCATTCCCCGTGCTTAGAATAAAAATAAGCTTTCTGAAGTTTATGTCCAAATTTTATGACTAATACTTAAATTTTTATAGACTACTTCACATGGCACAACAGAGTACTTGCTGGACATTTTTGTTATCACACGTTCATGTTCCTGTTGGTGTGAGGGCCTTAGAGCCCCTCGGATGGTTCCACAGTAAGTCTGTTTGTCACCTTCCTCCCCATCTACCTCCTTCTTAGGGGCGAAGTACCTTTTCTCTTTCTTCTCTCCGCCTCTCTCTGACCCCCTCAGTGCTTTATAAGCTAAGCAGAGTCCAGAGTGCGGTCATCTCCTCTCCCTTGCTGAAGTGGAGCTGTGCGGAGGAAGGAGCTCCAGCCCAGGGGTAGGAAGAGCCAGCCTCCTGTTGCTCCTGACATTCCATCACTTCCTAGCTGTGTGGCTTTGCAATCTCTTCATCTAGAAAGCAGGAGATCATCACTCACCCTTCCAGCCCACCACCCCTTGCAGTGAAGGAATCTTTCAAGTGTGCACAGTATTTGCATGCGTAACATGGACATAGTCTCTTTGCTCTCCCACTCTCCCACCTCCCCGAGTTCCCCTTTTTTTCCCTCTACAGGCAAACGCGCAAACCCTCATCTCCCCTTGGGACAGACTTCTTTTATTAACCAAGTACAGCACAACTAGCCTCTCCCCACCCCCAGCCCCTCAGTCCCCAGGCCAGGGAAATACTTTTGCCTAATGCATTTTATTTTGCCCCTCTCTTTTCAAACGCTGTTCAAATTCAAACCAGTTGGCTTTCTTTGCAAGTTCCTCTCACCGTTCTCTGATAATGGGCTCGGCTCCCTTCAGACCAGCACTTCCACTTCTCTTTCTTTGAGCTCCTAGTTCTCACAGCATCCTGTAGCCCACCTCATCTGGTCTTCCAGGGCTGACTTGACCTGATATGGCGACCTTATTTCCCTGTAGCACGTGACTGCCTTTCAAAGCACTTGAACCTCATTATCTTATTTCACAGGAAACATGGTAGTCCCTTATTATTTCAGGAAATTGAGGCCTGGAGACATAAATGACCTGCAACCAAGGGTGAGGCTAGTATATGGCAGAAGCAGAAATAGAACCTGCTCTTTGTTTTGCACGACGCCTGTCAACCACCCTATCGCCAACCTGCAGTGAGTGTCTCTGGATTTAAAAAACAATGCCTCTGATGCTGGCTGAGTTACTTCTAGCAACTTTAACTAAGAATATCAGCAAACCAACATAATTTGAGCAGGTCTTAGGAATTAATTCTTTCTTCCTGCCATTCTTAATATTTTCAAATCTCATTTCAAATAATAAAATAATAAAAATAACAAATCACTGATACTAGTAAAAGACATGATAATAGTAATGGGCCACTTAATGTATGCCAGGCAGAGTACTTAGCACATTATGTCATTTACATGTCACAACAACCCTAAAAGATTGTATTATTAGTCACATTTTACAGAACAGGAAAGACTGAAACCCACAGAGGAAGAAATTTGCCCCCAGGTCTCTGACAGCTGTCCTGCTGTCCATTCCTCCTGTTCCTGTTGGCTTCCCTGAATCCATCCTTACTTCACAAGCTCCAGTCTACTTTATGATTAACATTATAATTGCATCAACCAACGATTCATTTCAGCTTCTGTTTTTTCCTTAATTTGTACCAATTCAATTATGCCAAAATAATTTCAAGTAGTTTTTCCAATAAGCCAGAATTCCCCAGCCTACAACACCTTCGCACCAACTGCCCTTATCCCACTAAACAAGCTGCATAAATTCAGATGTCTTTGCTACTTGTCAAGTATATTATTACTTATTATAAATTTTACAAATCAGAAACTTCAAGGCAGCTATCTCCACAGTGCAGCCCAGCCTGTGTCAGCATGCCATTTTTTCTTTAGAGTCAAGCTACCCTCAAGTACAAACAGAAATGAAAAATAATAACAACTCTGGCCCCAGTGATGGCGCTTTGCAGTTACAATTCATCTATCATATGAGGGATTCCTAAGCTGCTCGTATGTAATAATGTGGGCAGCAGCAGCAGCTTCTTTCCTGAGCTCCACGGGGTTTTATGAGTCCTAGAGTAATCATTTCTGGAAGAGTTAAGCCAAGGAGAGCAGCATGCACTAAATGCTACGAGCTAAAGACGGATGTTCAGTGATTATTTGTTCTGCAGTCGCGTGATTTATTTGTTTATAGCACGAATTTACTTAAAAATATCAACAAACTATCAATTAAATCCTTTCTAGAGTCACAAATGCAGATATAGCGCTTCTCTTTGATTTGACGCTGAACAGATTGTGTTTCCTAGCAAAGTACCTAGTAGTTGATAATTTCATAGGCAAACATCTGTAAGGGTAATTCAGTGTTTATGAGGGATGCTG